AAGGAAGGAGTACTGGTGGACAGAGTTCTCGGTTTGTTTTGGCAGGCATCGACCGACACCTTTGGATTTAAACTGAAGTTCAACAACGTAGAATCCAGCGTATTGAACGGAATGCGCCGTCCGACAAAGCGAGAACTCCTCAGCGTGGTCATGTCCATCTTCGACCCGCTGGGATTTCTGAGCAATTTTGTAGTGAGTGCTAAGATACTCATGCGGGAGGTGTGGAAGCATGACATCCGGTGGGACGAACCATTGCCAAACAACGTAAACGCCGCATGGGAATGCTGGCGTAAGCAACTTTCAACGGTCGCCGAATATGTCGTTCCTCGGTACTATTTTCTAAACGGCAAACCTAAAGCTCTGCAGCTCCATGTCTTCGTCGACGCTAGCGAGGATGCCTTTGCTGCGGTGGCCTACTGGAGGTCAACCAATGCCGTCGGTGAGGTGGAAGTCGCATTTATCTCCGCAAAAACCAAATGCGCGCCGATGAAGTCTTTGACGGTGCCTCGATTGGAGCTTCAGGCAGCCGTGCTGGGTACGCGTTTAATGAGCTGCGTCCGGGAGGAACACTCCTTGGACATTGATGACTGCATCATTTGGAGTGACTCCAAAACGGTAATCCAGTGGCTTCGCAGCGAACATCGGCGCTATAAGCCATTTGTGCAGCATCGGATCGCCGAGATATTAGCCCCAACTACTACCGCAAATTGGAGATGGCTACCTACCGAGGACAATGTCGCCGATGAGGCCACTCGAGCTAATAACTTTATCGACTTCAGCTCATCTGCACGTTGGACCTGCGGCCCACCATTTTTGTTACGAGAAGAGCAGGCTTGGCCGTCAGAGGGCTTCACATGCAATCATCATGAGGAAGCGGACAAGGAACTTTGCCCTAAATTCGCCCTTGCGATCGTAAGTTGTACATTTTTAGATTATAACCGATTCTCTTCATTCAGCAAACTGGTGAGGACGACAGCATGGGTCCTGAGATTCATTGACATTTGCCGCCGCCGTAATCCACCAGAACGATGCTATGGGCTGACAGCCAAAGAAGTCGAGACTGCTAAGCTTTGTTTGTGCCGTCTTGTTCAGCGTGGTGAATACGCCGAGGAGTTTCAGCAGATCGAAAGCGGCCAGGACCTACCACGCACCAGTTCGCTTATTCAACTTTCGCCTTATATTGATGAAGACGGTGTTCTTCGTGTACGAGGATGCATAGATGCTGCCAGCTGGCTCCCAATATGCTCGAGGCGCCCAATCATACTGCCGCCAAAGCATGATTTTACAACTCTGGTCACCATGCACTACCACATCAAAATGCATCATCAAAATCTAGAAGCCACTATTTGCGAGATACGTCGCTGTTACTGGGTACCACGCCTCAGAAGTTTGCTGCGCAGTGTAGTCGCCAAATGCGCCGTATGCCGCCTAAAGAAAATCCACGCCGTGCCACCATTGATGGGTCCGCTTCCGATTGATAGGCTAACTCCCCATACTAGGCCGTTCAGCTATATGGGCCTTGATTACTTTGGACCGATAACAGTAACTGTTCGTCGCGCCAACGAATAAAGATGGGTGGCGTTATTCACGTGCNATTTGCCGCTAACTCTTTGCATGCACGTATGTACATATGTACATGTCCGCGGAATAGGTACGGTCGATGCAGTATTGCCTTTTTCGTTTTGTTTTTCTGTTCGTATGCATATGTACATGCATGTAGGCAAAGCATTGGAGTTGTTTGTCGCGGAGTTGTGCCTTGTAAATATGTATGTACAAATTAATGTTAGGTTTTTTGTGTACATACATACCGCAATGTGTCGTTCACTCGATTACCGCTGCCATAATTTGGTTGATCTGCTGGCGCAAGTCAACCTCAAAGTCAGTCGTCAACCAAAGGGATCGAGTGAAGGACACACTGCGGTAAGTAACTCCTAAAGTATTTTCAATTATATCTTTGTAACAAGTCTTTACATCGAACAGAAATAAACCAAGTAATACGTCATTGGACTATTATTGTGTATGCGCCTTTTTTGACAACGTTACTTGCGTTAAATTCGCAAGCGGGTTGACGACAGTTTGTACTAACCAATTCAACAAATGGCGGCTTTTGACATTTATTCTTCTTCTTCTTCTGCTAATTTNTAAAAAGTCACTTTTTTAAATTGGGACATAGGTTCTCACTTAGATATAGTTTTTTTCCCCATTTAAAATTTTCCTTTAGTTATTCGAACTTTACAAAAACAATGCACTTGAAATTTACAAAATAAACCGGTTGCGCAAACAACGTATCAATAACGTTTTGAAAGTGTAACTTTGGTTTATTGCTGGTTAACGGTGTTTCTTATTTTACAAAAACTAAGTGAAGTTTCTGTTATTTTGGAGTATTCCCTACAGAATGGCAACAAAAAATAATGTAAAACTGCCTTTACGAAATTGGACTTTCGCACAGCCAAATGTATCATTTGACCTAATGTGAAATGGTATAGAATAGTTAAANTTGTGTATGCGCCTTTTTTGACAACGTTACTTGCGTTAAATTCGCAAGCGGGTTGACGACAGTTTGTACTAACCAATTCAACAAATGGCGGCTTTTGACATTTATTCTTCTTCTTCTTCTGCTAATTTCTAATTTCTGCTAGTAAAAATTTCACTAGCAAGAATTTGCAGCTCTCCCGTGTTATTACGCTCTCGATTCAGTGTTCTCTTGCAAAATACTTTTCCAGTAAAAATTTGCAGGTTCCAGTACAAATTAGTACTGACTATTGGTTACTATACAAACCTATAGTTTTGTTTCCCATTTAAAATTTTCCTTTAGTTATTCCAACTTTACAAAAACAATGCACTAGAAATTTACAAAATAAACCGGTTGCGCAAACAACGTATCAATAACGTTTTGAAAGTGTAACTTTGGTTTATTGCTGGTTAACGGTGTTTCTTATTTTACAAAAACTAAGTGAAGTTTCTGTTATTTTGGAGTATTCCCTACAGAATGGCAACAAAAAATAATGTAAAACTGCCTTTACGAAATTGGACTTTCGCACAGCCAAATGTATCATTTGACCTAATGTGAAATGGTATAGAATAGTTAAAAATATTTTCTACCAGAAAACTCTGTTTATCTGCAGGAGATTCCCAATAATAATACCCAATTGTTTATTTAACCATTTTTTCATCGCAACTTTAAATTATAAGTCCGTCAAAAACCCACAAAAACCCCGATAAATGCAATGGGGCGACCAATAAAAAATCGATAGTATTAAAAAATGGTTAAGTAAACAATTGGGTATTATTATTCAACGTATCCTGAAGAGAACCAGAGTTTTCCGATCGAAAAATATTGATTTTCAAGAATTATATACCATTTCTACGAAAAATTTTATTTTTCCCATATTAAAATACATGGAAAACTTTGAGCGCTTTGAGCGACCTCTAAATATTTTTTGATCTCAAAATAAAACGTAGGGGTATACTTTTTTCGATATAGAACAATCCTAGGGGGTGAGAGCATAACAATTCCGACTTTACTGTTTTTGGACCACCCTAATGTAAATACATAAGTGTATAAAATTGTCATTACAGCTATATTTCGTTGTATATGTCTAAGGAATCCTTCATGAAACTGATTTACTGTAATAATTTAGTTAATTACTAATTATTATATTACTTCAGAGTATTTTAAAAATATTACTTCTAAAAATATATTGTACTTAAAACGCCTTAACAGAAATTTAATTTCATCATCTTTTCGGCACTGTATTTGAAAACCATTAGGCACATTTTGAAATTCCTTCCCTGGACCAGGCATTCCTCGATCCGCAACCAGCTATAGCACTCCCCACCACGGTTGCCGTTTTAGTCCATTGGTCCAATTCTTTTGATAATGATCCATTTTACAAGCCTTTGATTAGGTTATGATCACCCTTTCACTTCATGCAATAGTTTCGCGTTTGAAATTTTTTGTATTTAATTGATGAAGGATGGAGGATGGTTCCGTGCGCAGAAGCGGAAAACTTTTGACTGCCATTCACCTGGGAGTGGCCAGAAGCGATTCTTGTGCGTACGGTTCAAATCGCAGCTCACAAAGTCCGGATATTTATATCCACGTATCCTCTGGGTAGCAACCAAACACCCGTTTGGGAGCGAGCTAAAAAGAGAAGGCGTAAAACTTCGCGTGCGCTGGGTTTGGGTCTCGCCACGTTAAAACCCCGCCCAATGAAAAGAAAAAAACAGCCACGGATGAGACCCCCTTTTTCTGATGACGACCACGGCAAACGTATAAAGGACTATGATTTAAGGGTATGCACCTGGAATATCCGGACCCTTAATGGGGAAGGTGCCTCTGCCCGGCTGGTTGATGTCCTCGGGAAGACAAACGCTGACATCACCGCCATCCAAGAAATGCGATGGACGGGGCAAGGAAAAGTAAGCGTGAAGCCTTGCGACGTCTACTACAGTTGCCACGTAAAGTAGCGCAAATTCGGTGTTGGATTCGTGGTAGGAGAGAGACTCCGTCGCCGAGTACTGGCGTTCACCCCGGTGGACGAACGTCTAGCCACAATCCGCATCAAAGCTAGATTCTTCAA